GTTGGGGGGGGGGGGGACCAGGCAATCGTGCCCTGCCACCCACACAGCTTGCCCCTGTGAGCACCACCCCCACCCCAAGGCTGCAGCCTCCTGGCATGACACCAGCCCCCAGCCCTGTCTCTGCCTGCAGCTGCAGGCGCAGGAGGTGATGCAGCAGGCCCTGCGCAAGGAGCGGAGGCAGCAGCAGTGCCGTGCCGATGAGCTGCAGGAGCAGCTGCAGCATGCCACAGAGCGGGCGAGTGCGTTGGAGCTGGCAGGTGCCGTGCTGCAACAGCAGCTGAACAGCAGCCAGCGGGCGGTGAGTGCAGGACCAGGGTCCCGGGGGTGCAGGGCCAGGCTCATGGCTGCTGACCCTACTTTGGCCGTAGCTACGGGACCAGGAGCAGCAGAGTCAGAGCCTGCAACACCACAGGAGCCAGCTGGAGACAGAGGCACAGGAGCTGCGGGAGCAGCTGCGGCAGTGCCAGGCCCAGCTCCAAGGGGCCCAGCAGCAGGTGAGTGGCCACAGGGTCGTGCCCAGCCCCTCACGCCTGCTGGGGCTGCAGCGGTGACAGGGGGCTGCTCCTGGCAGGCCAAACACCATGAGGCTGCCCTAGGGCAGCTGCAGGAGGCGCTGCAGGCAGCAGAGGCCCGCGCAGGGCAGAGCCAGGTGGCTGCCATGGAAACTGCGCGGGAGCTGCAGCAGGCACGTGCCAGCAGCCAGCAGGAACTGGCTGCCGCCCTGGGACAGGTATGGAAGAGACCACTGCACCCCCACCAACCCAGGGCACGGGCCCAACAAACAGGTGCCAGCAGCACCCATGTCCCGAGCAGGGGGGCCCCCAGGAGCAGTCTGCACCCACCCATGCATGCACACACCCTGCTGCGAAGGGCCCATGCTCTGGGGCCAGTTACTCCACTGCTGCACGCCCTGGGGCCCCCTGCCAGTTTTGGGCCCTGCACCTCCCACGGCAGGGCTGGCCTGGGCAGGGGCTGGGGCTGGGGCGGGCTGTGCTGGTGCCCAGGGCGGTGTCACTCTCTTGCAGGCTGACGTCCTGCGCTCCTCACTTGAAGCTGCCCGTGCCGACAGCCAGCGACTGCAGCGTGAGAGCGAGCTGGTGCTGGCAGATGTGCGGCAGTGGGCCACGGAGCAGAAGTGAGTGGCAGCAGGAGGGCAAGGGCGGGGCCCAGGGCCCCCCCATGCTTCCTGCCCAAGCCCTCACTTCTCCCTGCTTCCATTCCATTGCAGACGAGCCAACGAGAGGCTGGGGCAGAAGCTGCGGGAGCAGAGCAAGGAGCTGGTGCGGCTGACAGGGGAGCGGGAGTAAGTAGCCCGTGACCCCCCCCAACCCTGCGGGCAGCCCCCAGCGCAGGGAGTGGGAAGCTGGCATGGGGGGCAGTGCTGGCTGTGCTAGGGGGGCAGGGGGCTACCTCCCTGTGCTGCCAGCGGGTGACCACTGCACTGGGCACATGGACAGGCCGCAGCTCAGCCTCCTCTGCCCGGCCACAGGCACCTGCAGGAGACCCTGGTCCAGCTGCAGCAGCAGAACAAGCACATTGCAGCCACAGCACAGCAGCAGCGCATCACCTGCGAGCGCCTCAGGGTGAGTGGGCATGGCTGCCACAGGAACCAGCAACCAGGGCTGCCACAGGGTCAGAGGCCACCAGCCCTTCCTCCACCCTGGCTGGAGTGGAGGCTGCGGGGCAGGGGGTGAGGCTACCACAACCTCAGTGCCCGCTCGTCTCCCTTCAGGCGCTCCAGGACTGCAGCGTGGACGCAGGGGTGCTGCTGCACTCACCGTGGCTGCCGCTGCCCGGAGAAGACTGAGGTCCTGCCTGTGCACAGCAACCGCTTCCACCTCCCAGCACTGCTGACCATGAGCCCCGGCAGGCAGCACAGCCTTGTCCCTGGCAGAAACCACGCGCAACAGCTCTGGGGGAGCAGGGGGCACAGGGCTGCATGAGGCCAGCACCTGCAGGGACTGTGACTACCCCAGCAGGCAGGAGCACAGCCCCTGGTGTCATTAAAGTGGTGCAGGCACAGTCTTCGCAGCCCCAGCGTTTCCTGCAACAGGGCAGGGAGCACAAGCGGGGTGGAGGGGGCACATGCCAGCAGCCATGGTGCTGCCTTTTCACCGCCACCTTGCATGGAGGTGGTCGCAGGGCAGGCAGGGTTGTGCCAAGCTGACAGGCTGCAGTGGAAGGTCAAGCTATGGTAGGCTGCCCACAGGGCCCCGCTCAGACAGCCCTGTGAATGCACCGTGCCCCCTGCCACGCAAAGGGAGGCCCCTGTGCCCCGCGCTGCCCACAGCAGGGGCAGATCCTTGTCCCCAAGCCTGTGGTCCACTGGCAGCACAGACTCACAGGCTGGCCCCGCTCCGCCCG